AGATTCAACAAAGGGGAAGTTGCATTTTTCAATATGAACACAAAAATTAATTCATCTGCTAAAATCATTAATCAAATTTTAAAATTTCAACCAAAATTGACTGAAACGCAAAACTTTGCAACTTCTTAATAACTAACCATTTTGTTCTATTTCTATTTCAAACAGTCGCTATCCCCGCATAGGAGAACAAATTGATACAAAATTGATAAAATTATTGTCAAATAAACTCAAGGAAGGTGTTCGCTTTTTGAACTCTTCAGGTGTAGACCAGTTCTTTCCATACAAGCTCCAATATTATGCCAGGGGAAAGTTTCAATAACCCTGCGAGTGGCATGTTTCTGCGTGGATTCTTTCGACGTCCTGTCCAACATTGAGTTTCAACGTGTTTGAATGTTTGTGGGTCCTTTCCCTACACTCTGTCTGTCGAAAACTCTCAAGGGTAATGAGTGGGTGGTTGACAGGTGCTCAGGTGTGGTTTGCTCCTTCTTTCCTATTAAACAACTATCGTTTGTATCTCTCCTCCTTCTTTTTGTGTTTGTTACTCTCTTGTAACACCTCTAATATTCGGCCCTTATAAGACCTAATTGTGTTGCAAAAGCCGTAAAACGCTTACTAAAACAAGAAAGAAGGGAGAGAGATAAGGACGATAGATGTTTGATAGGAAAGAAAGAGCAAACCAGACCAGAACACTCACCAACCACCCACATCCAGCAGCTTAGAGAAAAAGTGGGACACCGTGCTTGATGTCGTAGATAAATATTTTGTTTTCGTAAGAGTTTTACGGCAATTGCAACCAGGTTTAGGTCATAGAAGTGCCGAAGATTAGAAGTGTCAATAAGGAGTAACATACAAACAAGGAATAAAAGAAGGAGAGATATTATTAATAGGTGTCTGATAAGAAAGAAGGAACAAACCAAACCTGAGCACCCGCCAGCCACCCACTGTCATGAAGAAAAAAACTCACACACTGGCATTTCACTTATCTAGACAACTTTATTATAATAATAGTAATAATAATAATAATTTAATCAATAACATTCTGTAACGATAAGGGACGGATCACTGCAGTGAGAAACCCCCCCCCCCCAACAAATCTTGAGACAAAAAAAAAGGAAAGAGCTGTTTTGAGATTCGAACCAATCTCTCTCGTGCCTCACGGCCGTATCTGGAACAGCCTTAAAGAGAGTGGAATGCTTTAGCACACATCACAGGTTCAGGTAAAAATAGTATTTAACGCAGCAGTAAAAGCAGTAACAATTCTGTAATAACATTTTCAGCAATCGGGTAACAAAAACGACTCTTCTATAAAAGTAGACATTTTGCTATCATTTGTGATCTGGGATCATAATAATTATTTCTAGCCACGTGCTACTGTCATATTATTATATTATATATAACAATAATACTTATATTTTGTATTCGCGTTTTCTGCGTGATATAACGGCGAGACGTCTAACCGCTACACCACAGACACCACGTGACAAATGACACAAAACGTAATTTGTGGGAAAAAGAAAGGTGTAACGACGCGGCGGAATCAGGCGCTCGTCAGTTTTCGGGCATATGGAGGCATTAGTATCATCTTGAAGCCTGTTTATTTTCGTTGCTTTCACGGGAAAAAAATTACTCATCCATCTTGAATAGAGGTTGCAATATTTGCAGTTGAAAGAGGCGGGTCGCATGCTTTCAAAAGTAAAATTAGCGAGAAAATGGCCGCCAACGTTTGGTGACTTCTATAGCTCAAAGATTCAAAAGTCCTTGGCAACAGCAAATTTACATTTTCTGTGTTTTTAATTAATGTTTTTCAGTAAAATTTAAACATAAATGCGTTTTTAAATTATGGACATAAAAAGTGTTGAGGGAAAAAAACAAAAATTGTTTTAAAATTGCAAAACCGGCCGAAAAAATCTTTCTTTGATTTCATTATTTTGACGAGCGCCTGATTTCACCATGATGTCGCACAAATAACTGACGTGGCTATCACTATCATCAAACATGTAGGACAGGAAATGGGCAAACTAGACCAGACCAACAAACAACTCCACAAGGGGAACATGGACGATATAGGAACCTAGTAATTGTGCAACAGTAAGTTTTCCTCCCCCTTCATGCTTCTGTTCTCCCACACTCCTTTCCCTCCTCCCCTTCCTCCCTCCTCATCCTCCCCCTGATCCCCCTTCTCCTCCTCCTCCTCATTTTCCTCTTCTTTACTCCCCACTCCAACAAAATTCCTTTCTGAGGCTTCTTTCTTATCCTCCACCTGGTTTTTCTTCTTCTATATTTCGAGGCTTCAAACAACAAGTACAACAACATTAAGTACAACAACAAGTACAACAACAAAAACAACAACAACAATAACAAGTGCAACAACAAAAACAACAACAATAACAACAACAAGTACAACAATAACAACACTAACAACAGCAACAAAAAACTCCTCAACAAATGCAACGAAATTATTGCAACAACAAGTTATAGCAGCAGCAAAAACAACATCAACAGTAACAACAACAACAACATCAACAACAACAACAACAGCAACAACATCAACAACAACAACAACAACAACAACAACATGACACACTCTCTTGTTTCATTCGTCTGCCACAGACCAGTTTCTTTTTTTCTTCTACTCTTTAGAAATTGAAGCTTCCCTAAACTTGTCGTAATAACACGTTCACGAAATCTGTGCAAATCTGTCTAAATAGTAGATTCACTAACTCTGTTGCAATAGTTAGTTCACAAAATCTGTTCAAATAGTTGGTTCACTGATTCTGTTTCAACAGTAAGTTCATGGAATTTGTCTAAATATTGTTTCATTAATTCTGTTTCAAAAGTAAGTTCTATTATCTATCTAAATATTTGGTGCATTAATTCTGTATCAATAGTAAGTTCACTAAATCTGTCTAAACAGTTGGTTCACTGATTCTGTTTCAACAGTAAGTTCATTACCTTTGTTTTAATATTGTTTCATTAATTCTGTTTCAATAGTAAGTTAATTAATTCTGTTTCAATAATAGGTTCACTAAATATGTCTCAAAGTAAAAAAACAAAAGATGTCTAGTGTCGTGTAAGGAAGGGAACTGGGTACGTAGATCTTTAGAAAAAAAAAAAAAAAAAAGAAAAGAAAAGAAGAAAAAAAAAAATCCAAAGAGAAAAATGTGGTAAAACACGGTGGAATCAGGTGCTCGTCAGCTTTTGGGCATCTGGAGTTATTGGTATCGTCTTAAATCTTCTTCATCTGACCATCTTTTGATGAAAACAAAAATACACGCCTATCTTGAAAAGAACTTGAGATATTTGCAATTGAAGGAGGGGTGGGGGTGGTCGTCTGGTTTCAGAGGTAAAATTAGCGAGAAAATGGCCGGTAAAGTTAGGTGACATTTTCATGCAATAAATTAACATTTTTCTGCAAAATCCAGATGTTGAGTAAAAAAAAAATTTTTAAATAATTTCGATCAAAATTACCAAAACGGACAGAAAAATGCCAGTTTCTTTGATTTCATCATTTTGACGAGCGCTTGATTTCACCACGACGCCTCACAAATAAATAAAAAATGGTAAAGAAAACGTACATGAGTGCAAGTCTGTCTAGACATCACGTGACACAGTCAGGGGACATACGTAGCTGACCGACATGTTTCAGCCGGCCTTTGTTGGACAATTCACAGACTGGTTTAGCAATTACGGAACCTACAACTAATGTGCATTTCAACCCCCCCCC